GTCATTGACATTTTTTTAAATGGAAATTCTTAATTTATTTCGATTCGATAGATCTTTTAATTGTCGATATGACAACATTAAAATTAAATATTATATAAAGTTTTCAAAAAAAATATCAACAAAAAACAAAATTTTAAATCAATTGAGAATTTTGTATTTTTTAAAAACAAAATTGACCTGTTCGAGCATTTTTGTCAAAACAAAATATTTTCACTTTTAATAAATAAGACAATTCCATAATTTTGCCACTTACTGTATATTAGTATTAATATATTAATATTAAACTCTACTAACAAATTAGAGCCACGAAGTCTCAATATCCATACAGAAAAGAAACAGAAAAAAATTAAGAATGTTTGTTGCATTAATAAAATAAAATCTCGTATTGATTTTCCATTTAATTAATCAAACAAATATACCGATTCAGAGAAAAATAATAAACAAATGCACCAATTAAAAAAGTAATCGTCACACTACAAAGTTTTTGAAATGATAACTAACAATATGTGAGTCATTCACAGTTTGTATATTATTAAGAGAAAACCAGATTATTAAAACAAGTAATTAATAAAGTTGTGAACATATTTATTCCAGAGAAAAATTTAAAGAACATTATTAAAATATTTGTTTTTAACTTTTTTGACTGAAGTTCAAAAATGTTTAATATTATTAAACTAGTAACTATTTTTTGAAGAAGGATAGATTAATACCTAGAAAATAAAGCAAAAAAATAACAGATTTGATAAGTGCGTCACATACAATTTCAGTTGCTGAATTTTTCTCAAAATTGGTTCACTAATTTTTAGGTTAAGTAACCCATATTTCCCTTTTTGCAAACCGATGACACAACCCCCCAAACCCTTATCGAAATTTCTCAACTCTTACCAAACTTTTACACAACCAGGTCAAGCCCACATTTTCCGATTTTCATTTTCCGTTATATAATTTTAAGCAGGCGAAAACCATCCGCTCTTCATTAGACTCATCAACGCGAAAGGAAAAAGTCCACTGACCTCAGACACAACTAGTTCGACGGTAGTCATGTTACCGACAAAACTTCTAATCTTACTGATTCTTCCACTGGTAAGTCTTCTTAAAATCAGCAAACTCGAAAAACATAATAATTTCCAGTTCAACTCTGGCGTGAAAGTCGAAAAGGGTCTCTTCGACTTCCTCTTCAGCCCTTGTAAATGCAGTAAGTAGCACAAATCCTGCAAATGTTGATTTTTAACAGGGGAAAAGGGTGTGGGGTGCCTAACAGGGAGGCACGTTTCACGGGTGGTGAGTATTTAAAAGGACATGAATTTCCGTGGTTGAGTGCAATACAAGTTTTGGGTGAAGGAGATGACGCAGGTTCCACTATTCCAGGGACACTTATCAACAACAAATATGTGCTAACCGGAGCATCACAACTGGACGGGTAATCACCCCCAAACAACCATTCAACTCTCTAATTTTTCTTCAGTATCACTCCTTACCAAATTAAGGTGACTTTAGGCCAGTTTGATAAATGCAACAGCGACATTTCCTCAACTAATGTCAGTGTGGACAAAATAATCCTACATCCGGATTTCAGCAGCGAAAATAAAGCCAACGATATTGCTTTAATCAAACTAAGCACTCCGGTGTTAATCGAACGAAGAGTTTCCCCGATTTGTTTATCCGTTCCTGGTATTAATTAAATATTTGTGTGACATTTTTGACCCCAATTTTAGGTCATAGCTACTTGGGTCAAGTCGCAACAATCGCGGGATGGCCCAAAAGTACAGCAGATGATGCAGAAGAAGGCCAGACGACTTGTCGGCCCAAAAAAATCGGTTTGCCGGTTTTAAACAGTCAAGAGTGTATTGAAACGGCTGCTGATACTGATTCTTATACTAGCGATAAAGGTTGTGTTGGGGTCGTTGGGGCCCCTAGTGTTATCTGTGATGTAAGAATTTGAAATTTTTTTTGGCTTGTTTTCAGTTTTTTTTGTAGGATGATGGGGGAAATGCCGTTATGTATCGCTCGCATCGAGGAGTTTATGAATTGATTGGGATTATGACTGATCAAAATGCCTGCGAGGATGATAGCACAAATACGGCCCTGTATACTAAAGTTAATGACCATTTAGCCTGGATTGTGCAAAATACCAGAGATGCTTGTTACTGTATTAAAACTTAATTTTTTTAATTGTTTTTGGAGTTCTGATAAATAAATAAATTACATTTGTTATTATTGTAAATAATTCTGAAATTCCATAAATAAATGTCTTTGACCTGCTTTTAGAACAATTATTGATTTAAAGAACACATATTTTTGTGGTGCCTACTGAAAAATCCGAGAAAACACGCTGTAAAATTCTTGGCAAATTATCTATTACAAAAGTGCAGTGTTTTCGAGAAAAATCAATAAACGAGCACTTCGGATAAGTTCGGAAAATTTTCGTGATGAGCTCGGAAAGCAACTTTAAAAATTCATTAAAAAAAATCTAGTTAAAAACAATTTTATTGAGTAATTTTTAGATCATAGTTTTTAATTAAAAAAAAAATGTAATAGTAGGTTGCTATAATTAGATTTTTTTTGTAGAAAACAAAAACAAAAAAAATTTCGAAAAATTTTATTCTTGTTAAACAATCACATTTTAATTGTACCTTACTTTGCACTAATTATTTTTTTTGTTAAGTAGTCAGTTTATGAAAAAAAAACTCTTGGTTCCATACTTTTTCTTCACCCTGTATGTCTCTCTCAAGGAGGTAAAAATTTTACTTCCTTCATAGAAATGACAAAATGGTTAGTTTTAAAGTTTTCTTGCTGAATCGTTAAAAAATTATATGTATTACACTGGAGGAAAGCGTCTTTTGCTCACTGGGTGTTTACTGAGAGGAAAATATACACTTTTCTCCCTTGTAATACAAATAACAATTACATTTATAGATATGAGAAAGTTAAAAGATGCAGAGTTGTTGAAGGTGAGCTCGCTTGACGCAGTAAAATTCTTAGAATTTTTTTTATTGTAAAAGCTCAATGTTTCGCAGTTAATTAACTTACTTTTAATCTATTTACGTTATGAATTACAAAATATATAAAATATTAAAGTGTCAGTGTATTTTCCATGAAAATCAATTTTTTACAAACATTGTACTATTTTGATGTTTTAAACCACAAGAACTGCGGTGCTCATTAATTCCATGAATTAATTATGACGCCATGAGATTTCCATTATATAAATTTCAGCAATATTTCAGGTCAATTCCTTTACGTCAAAGATGATTGTATCAAAATTTTCTGGCCTTCGAAAATCAGCAGAAAACCCAGTTAGTGGTTTATATATCAGGCCAAAAATTAAAAAAAAAACAAGTCGAGTGTGTGGTTTGGTAGTTTAACGTTGTTCTGAAACTGATTTGTAAGTAAAAATTAGCGAATTGAAAAATTGAGTTAAAAAATTTAAATCAGTGTTATTCCGTGACACCTGATGCATTCACACTTTCGCTCTTACAAAAGAAACAAATTTCAAATTAGTACGATTTTGGAAACCCAAAAAAAGCCAATTTCAAGTCTTCACACTTCCTATTTTTGTCCAGTTTCTACCAAGCGTTGCCAGTTACGAAAATTAATTCTTAGATGTCACCTAACGAGCTTATTCGACAAATAAAATAATAAACAAAGTGTCGAAATTGGAGCAATCGTCACATCAGTATATATTCGAATTTTTTGACTTATTACAACAGTGGAAAAAAATCTTCTCCGGTTCATCCAAGTGCTGATTGTCGGTTCCACTCAGATTTCCGCCACTAAGCATAAAAAATGAAGTGTCACCCTTTAGGAATTTTTTATTAAGTGACTAATCTGCGTATTGAATGAACACAATGACAGTTTTAATGCGATTTTTGATAAAATTAGAATTGTGAGGTCCCACAAACGATTGTCCTAAAATTGCTTCAACCCACCACCTATAAAAAAAGTACAGTCATTATTAAAAAACTGTCAGTCAAAGACTAAGTTTCGACCATGTTGGATCAATTTCTTTACTGGTAAGCAAATTGCACAACCCCACCAAAATTAGCAATCTGAGAGGGGCTCGATTTTGTTTACTTGATTCCTTCATTCCAAGCCAGCATGAACACAATCTCATTTGATAAAAAAATTTAAGATCATGGGAGCGCTCAAACAAACCGAAGAAGAAAAAACTCTACTACCACAAGACATTGGAACGGATTACACATTCAAGCGAAAAATCGTCTGGTTTAACGCTATTGGATTTTTTATTCTTCATCTTTTGGCCCTTTATGGCGGCTATCGGCTGCTACATTGCCACATCCTAACGCCGATTTTCGGTAAGTCAAAAGTTGATTTTTCCAACATTCTGACTTTTTCTTAGCCCTAGCATTGATGTTCGTCTCTGGCGAAGGGATAACCCTCGGTGCCCACCGCTTGTACTCCCACAAAGCCTTCAAAGCGTCTTTCATGGTCCGATTAGCTGTGATAATTTTGCACACCATCGCCGGTCAGGTGAGCCAATATTTGCTCGCAAATATTGAACAAAATTTCTTGCGACACTACCAAACATTTAGTCGCTTGGATAAACTTTGTGGAACGGTTCCGAACATACCGCAAATAATAACTCTGATGCTTTTTTCGGTATTGTTCTGATGACATGAAAGTTTAACTACGCGAAATAATTTGGACTTTCTATGATTAATTGCAACGGGAAGTGTATATCCATGGGCACCGACTATATGGGTGCATCGGGGCGGATGCACCCATTGAATTTTTTTAATGGGTGTGGGTTTTTTTGCTTAAGGTAAAACAATAATAGTAACAACTTTTAAGAATATTTAGAATTTCGTATTTATTCTAATCTTTTTTTAGTAACGTTGCTTTTTTTAAAATTATTTTTCTCCCCTTTCATCGTTTATGTTATTCTATTTTGTTTTACCATTCTTTGAATTAATTCAAAAACTTCAAAACGACAAAACATTTTACATAAACCTTTTACTATTCCAAAATATTTAGAGAACAAAAACATTTCTTAAATTTTTTGATGTTTTTTGAAATATTGTACCTCAATAAAAAATGGTTGTATTTAGATTTAAAAGATGCATTTTAAAGCTTCAAGTTTATAGTCATAAAAACTTTTATGAAAAAATTTTCTGAGCTACGGTTACTACGTAATCCTAAGAAATAGCTCAAAAAAATATTTTTTTTTTATTTTTTTTTGGCCCACGGACTTGGGGAAATTTTTATTAATTAAAACAATACATAGCTTGTTCATTCAGTTTTAATTTGCTTTTTTGTGTTCTCTTTATGTCGATTTGTCGCTGCGATATTTAACTTTTAGTGAAAAAGGATCTTTTTGACCCCACAGGCAAAAACTGGAATAAATTTTCTGCAAGATAATTTTACAATTTTTTGAAAAAAAATTTACTTGCCTCATTGATTTAAAGAAAAAAGCAAAAGTTGTTGTCGTAAATCTACCGCGTATTCACGAATATTGACGAGGAGACTTAATATGTCATTAGGTTTTTTTTATAGCCTAAAGCACCCCCAATAGCTCTAAACTGTTTTCTCGGTTGATCGTCGATTGATCAAAATTTTCCAAAAGAATTAATTGTTTGTATACATTGTATAATCTTCATCAAAATGAAAAAAGTAATTTTTTTCACCTTTATCTACAATTTTGAATGTTATATTTGAAAAAAATATTCAAAAATAAAAAAAAATTGATATTTTTGAAAATGTAAAAAATCAAAAACCAATACTGGCTAATTTTTGAGACCATTTATTTTGCTTTTGCATACCCTAATTTTACTCATCTCAAATTAATTGCATTAATGAAAAGTTGATACTCCTCAAGCTGTATTCAGTACTAGATTTACGAATATTCATGCGAATTTTTAAAAAAGTATTTTTTTTATTGTTTCCCAATATTTTTTTCAAATTTAACAGTGGTGTATTATTTTCAAAACTCAACAACTTGAAGAATTTTGCAATTTTGAACATGTACTATTTTCTTTACGTTTTTTAGTGCATATGTTCTTCCTAAATATTAAATACAGGAAGAAATCGTTTTTTCGCATAAGTCCTGCAAGTTATACCAATTTTTTTATGCACCCATTGAAAATATGAAAATTTAGAATTGTCTCTACATCTGGGTCCGGGACCACCGCCAGCACCACAAGTACAGCGACACCGACGCCGACCCCCACAACTCCAACCGGGGCTTCTTCTTCTCCCACATCGGCTGGTTGATGAGCAAAAAGCACCCCGCTGTCATCTCCAAGGGCAAAACCATCGACATGAGTGACCTGGAGAACGACTCGCTAGTCATGCTCCAAAAAGAGTAACTCCCAACTCCTCCAACTTCCCACGATAATAATTAATTCAAATTCCAGTCATTACAAATTCTTGTACATCATCTTTGCTATCGGGATACCAATCGCAATCCCGATTTATGGCTGGAAGGAGTCTTTCGTCAACTCGCTTTTTATTAGTTATTTCGCAAGATATATCCTTCAGTTGCACGCGACTTGGCTGATCAACAGTGCTACCCATTTATACGGGACCAAGCCCTACGATAAGTAAGTAACCCCGAAAAAGTGTTTCGTCTCTAGTTTATCAACTTCAGGTTTATGAATCCGGTGGAGAATTATTTTATTTCAATGATAGCTCTTGGGGAAGGCTGGCATAATTATCACCATGCCTTTCCTTCGGATTATAGAGCCGCCGAATATGGTGTTAGGTATTCAATAACCACTTTTATTATTGATGTTCTTGCCTATTTCGGACTGGTTTATGATTTGAGAGAAGCCAACTCAGAACAAGTTAAAATCAGAGCTGTAAAAAAAGGAGATGGAACTCATCCCGTTTTTGGAAAGAAGAAGGAAATGGAAGTTAATATTAGTGATAGACAGGTTACGGCAAATGGGTAGGAAGTAGCTAGTCGTGTATTTTGTACCAAATATTTATAAAGACTATGTATCTTGTGTGTTTATATTGTTAAAACCAAAGCTATACTCAAATAAATGGAATTTGAGGTTTTCGTTTTCCTTACATTGTTAAAGAATTATTTTTCCACACATAAAAAAGTGAAACTTATTAGAATTAAACCATAGGAAAAATAAGTCAAATTTAAAGCTTTTTTCTTTTTTGACTTTTTTTCTTGACTTGAAAAATTACCAATTTTATACTATAATTTTAAATAAATAGAATTTGAGGTTTTAGTTTTCCTTACATTGTTAAAGAATTATTTTTCCACATACTTATTAAGTAAAAAACTTTGTAAAAAAATTAAAACTGAATTACCAGCAAATCTCTGGTTTAAAAAAGTGAGCCTTACTGAAACTAAACCATAAAAAAATAAATCAAATTTAAGGCTTTTTTCTTTAATTATTAAGCTAAAGAAATTTTATATTTTAATTTTGCTAACTAAAAAATATTAAAATACTAAAAATAAATTTCAGACTATATTATTGTCCATGAAATCAAATTATTTTATCTCTACACAAAAAATGTTAAAAATAGGTAACTATTTCAATATACACTGTGTCAATTTTAAAACTTGCAATCAGCAATTTCTCTCAACTGAAAAAGTTATTAATAATCAATCAAAACCGTTTTGGTGGTTCCTAGGGGGAATTAAAATGACATGATAAGTTACACACCTCCACCCACCCTTAAATATAATAAAAAAATAAAAATTTAGCGTCTTCGTTTTTGAATAATTGGAAAAATGGCTTTACCAAATAGGCTGTTGCATTTCATTTTTAAAAAGCGCTTGTTATAGGCTTTCCAACGATGTATCGTAAGTACGGTCGTGCCATTTAAAATTGGCTGTGGCTTGAAGGGTGGGTGGAGGAGCGTCACTTACCATGCCATTTTGATTCCCCCTAAAAACCACCGAAACGGTTTTGAATGATTCTCAATAACTTTTTTAGTTCTAGTGCAAGTTTTAAAATTGACCCCCTGTATGTTGTGTATTGTTTTTTTCATTAAAAAAAAATTTAAATTAATACTTAACATTGAACTTGAAGTTTTCGGTTTGTTAAATAATTATTTTTGCAACCTGTTTATTGAGTGAAAAATATTTGAAAAAAACTTATTTAATAAATTAATAATACGGAAATGTCAGAAAGCATGTAGAGACTGGTCTCTAATCCTCATGAAAATTTAAAAATTCGAAAAAAATACAAAACTAACTTTATCTAACATTACTAAAATTAAACTATAACAAAAAATCACAAGTAATTATTTTTTTCTTAAATTATTAAAAATTGCCTTACACTCATATTTTAATGTAAGAGAATAATTTGACTGGTCTCTGATATTCATAGAAATTCTAATTCCACAAAAATTAAACAAAACCACAACAAAAAATAAATCAAATTTGACTATTTTTTCTAGACTGTTTAAGAATTTGTTCCTTATACTCATATTTCAAAATAAAAAAATAATTTGGTAAAAAAATTAATAACCTGAGACCACTTTCAGTTAAAAAAAACAACGATATTGTTAAAAAGTATTAAATAAGAACAAAACCAAACAGAGAATTATAAACTTGAAATAACTATCAGTCATATAATTGTTAACTAAATAATTTTAAATGCTAAAACTGAAAAAAAACCATTCATTTCATTGTCTGCCAAATTAGTAAAAGAAAAAAATTAAAATTGCTAGATTAGATTATACTTTTCTTCATAAAGTGCTCTTCATTTCTGTGCTTCAGTATATTTATGTTATTTTGACCTCAATCTTTCATTTACAAAATAAATATTTAGAGAAAAAATTAGAAAAAGTTTAAATTTTGACTTAACTAAGAATATTTAAACAAGTAAAAATATGAGGTCAAACCAAACGATCAATTAAGTTTAGAATCTTCAAAGCGTGGGTAAATGGCTGTTAGAAAATTACATTATCGTGATCCCATGCATCGTTTCCCATTTCCGCTGAGGCGTGAATCAGAAAATATAAATGGTTAATCCTGAAATGTAAACTACCACGAAAATAATTACTTTTACACACAAGCTAAAAAAGTACAGAAAATTTGTCCAAGGTTTTAAATTCTTACAATTTTTGCATAATTAGGAACATACCGATTGATAAATTTACAAATAGGTGATTAGTTGTGCCCAACATGATTATCACTGCCTGTCTATTGCTTCTTGTAAAAATATTATCAGTGTTTTCAAAATTAAATGGCGAGGGTACCTACCGAATTTATTTTTTGAAATTTTTAAACGTTGGTGTTGGTTTTAGGCAAAGTTTGTGGCCGAGCTATTGGTACAAATTTACCAGAAGAAAAAATAGTTGCTGGGTACGATGTGGGTTACTACAAATACCCCTGGTACGCTGCTTTGATTGTTTCAAATGTGGTTGCTTGTGGGGGCACTTTGGTGGGTTCAAAAATGATAATTTCAGCCGCGCATTGTTACAAAGAGTATATAACAGGTCACGATGCTAAGTGAGTGTCATATTATCCCCAACTTGACTTAAATTGAGTAAATTTTTAGAAAAACTAAACTGGAGGACGTCTACAATGTCACTCTCGGGATTTACAACCGGTGCGAAAAAGAAAAGACCCAAAAAATATTCCCTGTTGAAAAAGTCCACATTCATGAAAAATACAAAGAGAATATCCCCTACTATGACATTTCTCTACTAATTTTGAAAGAAATTGCGAATTATGAACCAATTTGTCTTCCGAAAAGTGTGGTCAAAACTCGCCCTCGAGAAGGTTCAGTTCCAGGTCTTGGCACTTTGCGTTATCACGGATCCACTCCTTGCACCCTCCACGAAGCCCGACTGCTACTCTACTCTGATTATGAATGCAAAAAAATGATAAATCGGACTGGAAACGACCCAAACAAGTTAATCAGTGCTTTCTGTGCTGGTTATATGCAAGGAGGGATTGACACGTGTCAAGGGGATAGTGGAGGGCCATTTCAAATTATGGATGAGTTTGGAAATTACATTTTATTAGGTATTTGCTATTTTTAACTAAAACAATGTCTAATGTTTGATTAGGAGTGGTTTCTTTTGGTTTTCATTGCGCTAACCCGAATTTATTGGGAGTTTATACCGACGTTTCTCATTACGTAAATTGGATTGAAGGGAAAACAGGAATTAAAGCAACAATGGAAGGCTCAAATTCGACTAGTGACGAAAGTACCGAATCGGTGAAACCGCCACCAAAACCTAACCCAGCCCATGTGGTACATGAAACTTACCCAAAACCGAATAATGTTATCATAATCATCAGAAATCGGAATAAAAGTGACGACAAAATTGAAGATAAAAGACAAGTAGTTCATTTGATAAAAAAGAAGAACCACACAAAAAGCACAAAAAAAACAAAAAAGGTGTAATAAAATGTCGATCAAATAAATGTGTTTTATTTTACTTTAAAAATCGACAATTTTAAAGTTTAGTGCCTATATCGTTTTTACATTTCTAGAGATTCTAGAAACTCAAAAAAGTGCATAAAACGTAATTGGGTCAAATTTAAAAAAAAAATCGAATTTTTTGAGTTTTTGAAGGTAAAAATAGTCAATTTACCTTAAATCGTAAAAACGCTTCAAATATGGTTTTCTGAACGTAAAATTACGCACTGAACATGATGCAACAAGTTAAAATACTCTACGATGCATAGTTTTTGAGATATTGAGTAATAAAGTTAAGCATGATTTTGACCAAAAAATCAAAAATTTTTTATTCTTAAAAAAAACTAGTAAGTACTACATGTAAAATTAACCGGAGAATACGCCCCGGAACCATAATACGAAGCGACTTCCGGTTTACGCCATTAGATAGATAATTTAAAGTAGATTTTAATGGTTTTTTACTTTTTGCTCTAAGTCTTATAGTTTCGTAAAAAAACGTATTTAAAGTTTCACAATTTTTACTTTTTTTATTTTCTAAATTGCGGCAAAACTCTACCTCAATGATATAATATTTAGACGTAGACATATGTAAAACGTTCTGGAAAATCGATTGGCGTTAAGAAAACTGCAACATTTACAATAGTTTTGAAGTTATAGTCGAATTTATATTTTCGATACATTTGACTTTATCAGAAATTTTCTTGATAACTATTTATCGTAGAATACTGATCATTTTGTATATGATAGAAAATCTAATTTTCTTTCTAACGGTAATAAACATAAGAGGTTATCACCAATAAGTCCGGAGTTATTGGCAATGGACCACCCCGGGTACCGAAAATGGCCCAAAATATTGTTAAAAGTCTAAAAATAAAAAACTTTAAAATTGATCGAAATGCACTTCAAAGAGACTAAAAGTGTATAATGGTTTAAGTATTACTTATGTAAAATGTTCCGAGAAGTTGATTGGAGTCGAAAAAACTGCAAAATTAGAAATACTTAGTTTTGAATATATATTTTGGATATTTTTGAATTTATCGGCAATCTTAGTAATGTTATCATAATCATCAAAAATCTGCAAACAACCGTAATTAAATGTTGATCAAATAATTGTATTTTATTTTAATAACACAGGTCCAAAACCTAAATTGCTGCTAATTAACAGTCCATTTTCTGCACAAGTCTTTAAACAATAGTAAATAGTTTTACATTTTATCAAAGTCGCAACTAGTGGGGCGAAAATTAATTAAGAAAACGATCGCCTAAATTGCGAATTGTTAGTTTATATGCGATAACATGTTTGTGCGGTGGGTTTTCATTGTCCTCCTTTACACACAAGCAAATTTCAAATGTGTTCCAAATAGGGTAAGACTTTGATCTCTTGTAACCCCAAATTTACATATTTTCTAGATTAAAATTTGGTCGCCTGTCAAATGCGGTATGTAATTTAAAAAACGTGCCATCGTATGTGTTTTATTTATTTTTAGAGGCGGGGAGACGATTTTTTGCAAAGTTAGGAGGAATTCCAGAATTCCCAACTGAAATTTCCCAACCGTACTTATATCCCTGGTTGGCTGAAATAAAAATATCGAATTTGGGCCGAATCCGCTTCTGTTCGGGGGCTTTAATTAACGACAAATATGTTTTGACTTCGCAGAGTTGTGTTTCAGCGTAAGTAAACGTGTTAGTTGTGAAATTTGATTAAAACCATGAGATTAACAAATTTATTCTAATTTTATACCAACTAAAGAAGACGAAATTTAATGAGAAAATTAACAAAACAGTTTTATGCCTCATTGTTTTTTTTATTACTTATTTCCATTCAATAAATCCAATTATTACAAAATCCGAAATTCTGATTAATCGTTCGTTTTAGGCCAATTCAAGCAAATCAAATAAATGTTCATCTTGGATTCTACAATGGGTATAAACAAGACGTGTCGGAAATTTTCCAACCAAGGGTTTTCCAAAGCGGAGTCAGCGAAATTATCCGACACTTTTATTACGACCCGAATAATATTAAAACGGCCGAAAATAATTTAGCGTTACTCAAATTAAAAAAAGATGTCAAGTATAGCAAAACTATTTATCCGATCCAATTACCGGCACCTGCTGATAAGTGTAAGTTTATTCGTGATTATCAATATATAGGGTGTCAGAACTCGCGCCCCAAAGAAAAATTTCAAGTAAAATAAGATACCAGGAACATGGAAAAAATGTTTAAAAAAATCTGTCAAACAATTTTGACATTTGGCATTTTTTACGTCTATTTAGTGATATCGATGATCTTGTATATATTTTTTTATAATTATTTAGGAAAAGCACAAAAATTTTGCCAATAAAAGCCACAAAAAACATTAAACACAGTTACAATTTAGGATACAGCTTCCTTGTTTCTTCTAATAGCCTGTAGCACAAAAATTATTTTTCCATCATAAATAAATAGTCAAAGTGCAAAAATTAAATTCTCATAACTTCGAAATTTTTATAGATAGCATTTTTTTAAACATTTTTCTATGTTCCTGGTATCTTACCTTACATGGCATTTTACTCTGGGGCGCGAGTTTTGTGCACCCTGTTTAGAAAAAATGTCAATATCTTCCAGTCAATAAACTTGCTAACACTTTTGGAGAAAATGTCGAATGGTCGTTTTTTTCGCTAAATAATAAGAAAATAAAAAATGTTGAGACAAAAATATTGGATTTGGAACAATGTAGACGATTTAATTCAAATTATCAACGAATTGGAACCGGAGTTATTTGTGGTGTTGGTGATAATCGCTCGAAACCGTGTGGGGTGAGGAAAATACCCGATTCGGTTTTGTTTGTATCATTTGTTTCAGGCGGAAATGGGAGGCCTACTCAGTGTTACCAAGCCGAAAAAAATGTATAACGTCACAGTTTTAATAGGTAATCGCTTTGTCGTAAATGTCAAATAAAAAAAAATCTTTTTGAAGGTATAACAGCGTGGGATCCCCCTTGTCAGAGTCACCTACCCCGAGTTTACGTCCGCTTAGACAACAAACTCGACTGGATCAGAGAAAATACCCGCGATGGTGCTTATTGTCGTTACTAAACACTCCCAGATATGAAAAAAATTTATTATATAACTTGAATAAATTAATACAATCAGGAAACTTATCTAACTTGGCTCCAACACAAAACACAACTCTATCCACACCGTATAAATTTAGAAAATTTGATGCGTCTCTATTTATGTACATTTTTTACAAAGAATCCAAATTCAGTAAATCACATTACTCGTGTTTTTCTTACACGACGAGCTAATGGCTTCTTCCAAGTTGCTGTCCAATTTGTGGTAATTGGCAGAATTCGGTCTTCGCCCTCTGTACTGTCTTTTGCCCCTGCGTCCCTCCAAAATCAATGCGAGAATCTGGAAAACAAATTAGTGAAACAAAGTCCGCGGCGACCTTAAAACTACCTTTTGTTTATTGTGATAACACACATAACCGGCGATGAAAATCACACACAGCACCATGAAATACGTGAAGAAATAAGAGTCGTTTTCCATTTCTGAGGAGTAATTCACAGGTTCGGACTCGTCGAGTTTCGATGGTTTTGAGACGCGACCAGCGTTCAAGTTCGATTCTGGAATATCATCCTCTACTGTAAATCACACGAACGTTCGACATTTATTTCCAGGACACTCTATATGTACTGAATTAATTAGCATACTTACGCTGGTCTGGTGGCTGCTCGTCCTCGTCGTCATCATCAGGCATTTTGTCCTCCTGCTGCAAATCCTGCTGATTCGCAGGATTTGCCTCAACCGCGTCAACTTTTTTAGTTTCTGGGGGCGGATTTGGTTTAACCGTTTCAACCTTTTTAGCCTCTTGGGGCGGATTTGGTACAATCGCTTTAACTTTTTTAATATCTATGGAGACAGAATTTTGATTTTCGACTCGAGTTTGGTCAGCTTGGGGGTTTTGAGCTGTTTGAGATAGAACTTTATCTTGTAAGCTTTCAGAATTAGGAGTTTCTGCTTGTTTTGATGATGGATTTTCGTGCTGTGGCTGTGTATCAGCTGGTGCAATATCTTTCTGTGACGTTGTTTTCTGCGTTGTTTTATTTAGGGCTTTATCTTCGCTTATTCCAGGATCTACAGCAGAGTTTGCAGGAGCAGGATTAGGTAGTGAGTTTCCAGACTGAAGTTTATCTTGTGTAATTTGACTTTGTTGAACAATATTGTCTGTCTTACTAGGGTCTTCAGGAGGCTTATTCACATCCAAATGCGCAAAATAATATGAAATTTTACACACTGAGTGAGGCAATTCAAGTTCATCGGTGCAAATTGTTTCACAATTATTCCGATTTGCAAAAATGGTGCTTAAATTCTTATGTGGCATACTTTTTATATATTCACACATAGTATCAAGATCATATTCCAGTTCACGAGACACAGTTGTGTTGACAATTTGAGTCTGAGTACAATATTTAGTAAATGCTTGATAATATAGCAAACAACGTATTTTAGCTGCATTAGCTTCTGTCAATTTACTTATTTCACTAATATTCTTCCAGTCTTTGCAAATTTTAAATAATGGCTGCGTCTTAAATGAGAGAATTGAGGAGACACTCGGACATTTTTCTTGAATGGCATCATACATTGACTTTTCTACAGGTGCACCTGTGACGGAGTAGAGCCCCAAAAATAAATAAATAGCGTGTATTTTGTTCATTTTTCTAGACTTATAACCCCTAAAAATTCGATTTTGTTTTTTGAGAACTAACAAAAAAGTAACATCCTTACCCAACTACAAACACTACAATAAGACTAAATTCAAGTTTTTGCACTCATTCACAATGTAATCGCGTTAAAACCACAAAAAACTCAAGTTTTTACTATTTTATGTTTGACATTGATACTTTAAGTGCCAAACGAAGCCAGCAAAAAACCCCAACTCGCTGCCTAGTGGTTTTTATGCAAAAACGGCGCCTTAAAATAGTGTGTTTGACTCAATTTCCTCAAACTTACTCAATCTATGATCATGTCAAGGTAAGATTTCGCTATTTACTTATTTTTCTAACAATTTGTAACCTCGATTATTTGGATTTACACTACCAACCAGAGGTCATGAAAATCCTAGTCAAACGCGCGAAATATAAAAAGTAGGGTGGTTGAATAAAACTCGTTGAATAAATAATAGATTTATTAGTGTGAAACTACTCTTTACCGCTAGTACACAAAATACGACAATTAAAGCTGCATTGTGATCAGTCATGGTGTCGCGAGACGCCGTTGGTGATGGGTCTCGCTTGAACAAAAGCTTGTGCGATTGAACTCTTCGCCGCTTGTCCAGCTTCAGTCTTTGGAATTACATTAGGCACAAGAAAAATCGCCACGAGGGCCCCCAAATGAAGACACCAATACATGTGCCTGAAACCATGGATTAATCCCCACAACAAACCCTTATTATTTCCACTCACATATACAACCGTATGCAAGGCCAAAACTCCAGTAACACAAACGTGAACACCATGTAAGCCATCAGTATTCGTGTCGTCACAAACGTCACTCCATCGTAAAAGAACTTCGTTTCGGCGTTTGCCAGGAAATAGTTCCTCACTCTTTTGCGCATCTGTTAAAAAGAAATGAGAGAAATTCGGGCGGAAAGACAACTTACCACACGCGAAGCGTACGTGAATACGGCCCCGTTGGCGAACGTGAGGTAGTACCCGGGGTAGAAGCCGTGCCACAGAGCGGACAAGGAGTAGGTCAAAATCATCGAATATTTACTCACACGCTCATACACAATCATACGCAACCAACGATTCGTGCCCAAGTTCCACGCTTCTATACTCTCACGTAAATTCGTAGCAAACTGCAAATAAAACACGAGACTTATGTTAGGGCTTTAATCAAGGACAGAGTTTTTTCTCTTCTAAATACTGATTGACGTAATCATCATCTTTGTATGTTTCACGCACGCACTTGTCAATATCGAAATTTTGGGCAAAGTACTTCTTAGTCAATGCGTGTTTATTGAAAACATTGCTTAGGAAATGTTCGTCGTAAACATCCCCGAGTTTGTCGATTTTCAAATGCGCTTTTGCTTCTTCTGCTGTCAAGAGGATGCAATTCCAGGGCGACCAGTCTTTAGTTTTGTCCCATCGACACAGCCTCAACTGGTAGATGTTATCACACTCTGATAAGGCCGAATGGCCGTGCCAGATATGCGTCACAAGGTAGTAAATATCTTTATCCTGGATGATGAACGCAATCGATGATAGTGCGTGTAAAAGTCGCTCGGTTTTGCGAATTTGTCTCAAAATAAATCGGTAAGGGGAAATATCAATCCAGGGCTCCTTCGAGCGATCGATGAACCGACAAGTGGCACAAATTTTCGCCGCGTTTGTCTTCACGCCAACATTGTAACATTCAATAGGTTTGAGCTTCTTACAACTGTGACAATAAAACAAATTTTCTTTCATTGATTTCTCGGCGAGACGATTATAACGATTTGTAACACCTTCGTTACACTCACTTTGTTGGAAATGATGTAACAACAAAGCTTCAATTCTTTTTTGCAAAGTCTCGATATGCCGTCTCTCGAAACCCCGAGCTAACAATTCGCACGCACGATCGATTAATTCGATCATTTCATTAGAAATGACGCAATTGTGACTCTCTAAGCCTCGTCTTAGTTCCAGAAAAACCAACATCCGGTTTGACCCGTCGAGACTTGGGTCACAAATTGCTTCGTATAACTCACGAAAAGTGCGGCCTTTTTGCGTTTCAAGAGTGTCAACGACCACTGGAATGTTCTTGTAACTCGATTTGAAAGTCCAGGGGTCACCTATTGTCTTAAAAAAATCAATTTCCTTCTGAATTTTCCGGTCGTTTTTCAACTTGAGTCTCAACTCATCGATACAACGCAAAATTTCAATTTCCTTCTCCAATAAGAGATAGAATTCGGCGATCCTAGCCGGCCCACAATGCATTTCAACGATTCTTTTAATCTCGGCTTTCTTCCACCGTTCTGTCATCGCGTATAACATGGAGAAATCAGCAGCGGTTCGGGGAAACACCCGACTGATCAAGTCGCGTTTCTTCCTCTCCAAATTCTCCTTCCGCTCCAACTCCTCCCGTTCCAACATCAACCTAATTCTCTTATGATACTCCTCACTGTACTCCTTCAATCTTTTCCTAGTCAACCACGACCGGAAATACCTCTGAATCACCCGGACTTTTCCCTCAACATCCAACCTCTTTTCCCTCTCCTCTGCCGTTTCGTACGGGCCCGGAGTCAGAATCCGGTCGCCCACCGACGGAATCCATAGTTTTTCCGCCGCCATTTGCGTGGCGTGTCCGTAGGGCATGTCGAGTTTCCGGTTCCGCATAAAATAGGTCTGGGTGTCTCTGTGATTTTTCATTTCGGGCGGGATTTTGGGCTTGGGTGGGCCGGTCTGGGTGTACCCATGGTGGTACTCGAGACCAGAATGCTTGTCGAAATAGCCGCCCAAAAACGGTTTGATTATAGCCCGATTTTCCACTTCGACAACGACGTCTTTGATGCCTTCTTCGGATGTCTGGACGCGGACTGTTATCACATCGGGGATTGTGTAGTCTCGGAAAGCTTCATCGATGGTTAGTTTATCGTCGGAAACTAGTTTCAATTCGAGAACTCCGAAGGGTTCAGCCCCCAACTCATTTAAAATTTTCTCATCGTTTAGTTCTTTTTCGTCGAGGAGGAGTTTTAGGTTGTTGGCTGGAGTGTTGAAAACTTCGGTTAGGAGAGTTTTCAAGTCGCCGATTGCTGTGTCCTCGTGGTAGGATTGCGTGAAAACTTTGTTTTCGTCGTAAACAAATTTAAGAGTGATGTTTCTCTGATTTGCTCCATTGTCCGAAAAAGATTCAGAAATGTCAGTAGTACCACCATCTGAAGCACTACTTGAAGTTGCCGAACCGAAAAAGACACCTGCCATCTTTCAAACCGTTTTTAAGACTGACATTACTGTAGCCGAGTGATGGAAATATTGATCGGTGGATAAATCACGGCTTGGCACCGAATCGATTCAAGAAATTGGGTGACAAGTGCGTGCTAGAAACGGGCTTTTCTCAGTGAAAATATTATTTTTTACTCTGTTAATTAAATATTTGGCTAAAATGTTGAATTTCAGATCGATTTAGTTTATTTCTGAACCAGAAACTCATCAATTTTCGATTTTGACTAAACAAGTCAAAAAATCGTCTTTTTGGCCAGTGTGGCATCTTTTTGAGCAATAAATTGACTCAAATCTATATATTTTAATGAAATGAGTCGTTTTTAGCTCATCACAACATTGTTTACGATCAATTTATCATATTATGAGCCAGAAAACCTATTAAATATCAAGGTTTTTTTTCTCAAATAGATAAGTGCAAAAGTCGTCGGAACCGAGAAATTTTGGTGAAACAAGTACGAAAATTTTTGATTATCTATTGTAACAATTTAGTACATTTTATACCTAGAATTTAGAATAGAATTTTTTATACCTAGAATTCACTTAAATCGACGAATTTTTCCTAAATTTATCAAGAAATCGTAGTTTTAGGTGTAAAATACAGAATTATCGACCTATTTACCACATTTTTGAGCAAAAATCATTTCAAATCCCGAGATTTTGATGTACAGAAATCGTAGATTGTCTAATACCGCTATTTTAGCCAATTCCGAACAATTTAGCACATTTTAGAGCCTAGAATTCATTTAAATCGACGAATTTCTCGAAAAATTTATGAAAAAAATCGTCGTTTCAGGTGTAAAATACAATATTTCCGACCGATTTATCACCTTTCGAGCAAAAATCAACTCAAATACACAGATTTTAATGCAAACATAGGAAAATCCTGGTTTTAAGTCATAATAACGTTATTTCAGCCATTGATGAGCGATTTAGCACATTTTTACGTCTGACAATCATGAAATTCAATTATACATCAATGATATTTTCAAAATTTCCTGAAACAAGTTAAGAAAGTGTCGTTTTAGGTCTACGACATTACACATTTCAGCCATTTCCGAGCGGTTTAATACTTTTTTGAAGCAGAAACTCACTCACATTGCCAAATTTTACCTCCAAAAGTCGATGTTTTTATTATTATAAGTACAAATAAATAAAATTCTTTTACTTTTTTAAATAAGCAAAGTGAAATAATTTATATTTCTTCCCAAGAGGGAATAAAGTGACGCTTTATTCCCTCGTTTTTGACGAATAATCTGCTCGGGAATTCCCTCAAGAATAAAATAAATGAAATACGAATTTTTTACTCTTATAAAATAATAAACTGAAATTGAATGAATTGAATCTTTTGAGTGTTTTTTAACATAAACAAACTCTTTGATACAAATTTTTACTTTTAAAATTGCAGCGGAATGGAATGAATTGTTTCATTCAAATCAATATTTTCTTATGTTATTATTAATTTAGTTTGTTGGGAGAACAATTTCGTATGCATTTTTAAAATAAACATTGTTAAATATAGAATGTAATGCCAAAGGCGACCAAAGGTAGCCGAGGGCATTTTCATTCGGGGGATTAAAATAGTTGTTTATTCCCTTGATACATAAATACCTATTTTCGATTTTTTTTTTATATACAGCGTGATCAAGAATCATTGTTTACAAGTGTAGCACAACTATAGTAACTTTCAGTTGTTGCCAGATTGACATCATTCAACACCAAATACAGTACTGTTGAAAGGTCATTTGAACAAAATGGTATCTTTATGGAATACTATAGAATCGTTCACTTACCTCAAATTTAAATATATCGACATTCGAGAACTTGTCCCATTTGGGGGAGCCACTTTCGTCCACCCCGTTGTACCCTATCCCCGCATTATTGCATACGGCATCCGCCAACGTCCAGGCGAAATAATACTTAAACCTAACTAAAGTTGTACAAATATACAGGTACATAATTTTTTGCGTGATGCTCGTATTTTCCACAAAATCGTTCTCTTTGACACGACTTATCGGAAACATTGGCAAAAATTTGACAAAAATTGCGGCGCATGTCGTTGCTAAAGCCACTTTCTTACACACAGCCCACGTGGGTGACGGTTCTATAACAATAGGGGCATTCCCTGTTGTGGCATCTGTCAAAACCTGCAATTTTTTCGTAATCACTCTGTATGTTTTTTTGGGATTGGGAATTTACCGGTGATTTTAAATTACTGCCGTCGATAAAATCCATGTAGTCTTTGTACAACATGGCGGGGCCGGCCATTAAAGAAGGAAAATGCAATACAAAACTGAAATATTCTAAAGGATTGGGGATTTTTGTAACGGCGTAGAATCTTTGGCTTTTTGAAAGCTTCTCCTGATGTTGGGTCAAGCCATCGTGGATGTTAAATGCAAGACTTGTGACTTTTTGCGTGATCACCATTAGAGGTCCTGGAAGGAAGGGAAAAATTACGGGCCGCCCTTTGTATGTCGCTGCTCAATTTTGCCGCTTCACACAAATTTGGAACAGAATAAAAGTTGCATTTTTGTGCTAATTTACTCATTTTGCAACGAGTTCTTCAAACTAGTGTGATAATGACATGCAGGGTTATAATTACTAAGAAGAACGTAATAGTGTAAAAACAAGTAGTAGGGGTTTGGTTTCGGACAGCCGGCAAATTATTTCTGGAGCTTTCTTTATAGCCAATTTCGCCATTTTATGTGTTGCCATTTAATTATGTCATAATTTTATGTTAGCACTCAAGATTAATGAAATATGTATATAGCTGAAGGATCTAATTAAGTGCAAACCTACAAATGTGTCAAACTTTACTAACAAATATATCTCACCAAAAAACACTAAATTCCCGAAATCTGTATAAAAATATGAAATGTTGTCACCATTTATACTTATAATATATTGAAATATGTATACAGGGTGCGCTAGAACTCACGTCCCAGAGAAAAATGTAAGGTAAGATACCAGGAACATGGAAAAAATGTTTTTTTTATCTATGTATAAAAATTTCAAAGTTATGAGAGTTTAAATTTTGCACTTTGCAAAAAATAAATGTCAAATTTTTTTGACAGAGAATTTTTTAAACATTCCTGGTATCTTACCTTACTTAAAATTTTTCTCTGGGACGAGAGTTCTGACACACCCTGTATAAATAAAATATTTAATTACTTACCAGTGATGTCCAGATTATAGGACCCATAATCGTATATCTGCCGATGCAAGTGTATAACAGACAAATAAAGTAATGCAACTGCTAGAACCATTCTGAAACGTCGTGAGAAATGAAATAAAAACGGAAAAATGTGGCAAAAACGGAAATTACCTTTGCATGATTTCTGGACTTTGCGTTCGGATAACAATATAGCATGCTGCCGGAAGGGCCGCTAAGTGTATTGCCTGTCTTCTCGTGGATAATCAATATTAAATAAAATCTAAATTTCTAACTACTACTTACGTTCCGAAGCAAAAATAGCCGATGATGATGGCAACGACAAGTCCAAAAGCGTGTCTTATAGCAGCACTTGTTTTCGAAGGGTGAAGAACATTGCGAAAAAGGGAAGCCAAGAAAAGTGCCCCAACTTGACTGATAACAAAATTTACCTAAAATTAATCCATGGATAATATCACAAATACGATAATGGCCGGGTCATTGAAATAAATAAATTGAGTGGTGTGATCGTGGCTATTATTTCGAATTGGATCATTGTTATCTATTTCGAGTGACGAGCATAGCATTAATTTTATAATTAAATGCGGTCAAAATGGTTATCTTTTGTGTTCAATGCAATGATTAAAAGTTAATTACTGCTGTTTTGTTTATCGCAAATTTCGTGTGAATTTTTCTCCGTTTTATTGTGTTAGTGGTGTAAAGCATGCACGCCAATTTAATGGTGCTAATGTAAACACTACAAAAATAGAAACTTGCTAAACACCACTTCTAAATTTTATTACCTACAATCTGAAATAAGTAAAGTGGAATTTTCTACTGCAAAAAATGTTAATTACTGAATGTTATCAACAATGGACCTTGATGTCAAGCATGCGTTTCAAAGAGAAAGTTGTCATAAAGAACGCGTAATTTTTAGACGGAACAATTGGAAGAAATTACAATGCACATCCGTTTATGCTTATGATAATATGTCCTGGTTTTAATTAACAATTGTAATTTATCTCTCCAAGACTCCAAGGTTGGCAACGGTCAAGGTGTCAAAAAACAAACCAATAAAGCTTTAATAGGGAAAACATGGCTTATCGTTAAACTAGATTTTTGTTAAATTGTTTTTAATGCTAAATTGGTTCCAAATAAGGATATTATTAGCGTTTATGCATCATTGGCTGCTTTATAGTTGATAAGCGGTACCTGTTACGGAAAGTTGGTTCAATAAAATAATATTTAACGAATTATTCCGGGAAAAAAATTAATTTCAGAAAAAAAACATAAGCGTGACTTGAAAACTACAAATTACCTTGACTAGAATTAATAGTTTTTTAATGACATTTCGTTTGAAACAAATGTCTAAACTGTAACAAATTGTTCTTTTCATCAATATTTGAAGATCATCAAAACTACGCATTATTCATTCATATCATTACATATTTCTCTTTACTTTGAAATTTTATTCGTAATTTTTACGATAAGAATATGGAAAAAGTGCGTAAGTGATATGAGTTATCACGACTACGTAAATAAATAAATCAGGTGAATTTTTATTTATGAAACTCTTATACATACCGGGTGCGTTAGAACTCGCCCCCAGAGAAAAATTTCAAGTAAGATAAGATATTAGGAACATTCTAATAGCCTGTATCAAAAAAAACTTGGAAAATTAATTTTCCAATAGAAATATTCAAAGTGCAAAATTTGAACTCTCATAGCTTCGAAATTTTAATAGATAGAAATTTTTTAACCTTTTTCCCATGTTCCTGGTATCTTACCTTACATGGCATTTTTCTATGGGGCGCGAGTTTTGGCGCACCTGTGTATACAAATTCCGAAAATGAAAATACCAAGAAAATTATTGCAATTATTGGTCCAGTAATAGTTATTTATGTATCAAGACACTAAAGTCTTATTTTTCATTACGAATGAGTATTTAGCTGCCAAAGCGATAGCCGTGGCAAATGAAACACATGACTTTCAATAATATTTCTCAAAAAAATGCCTCGTTTCAATAATACCATGCCGTCCATAAACCGCAAAATAACTATCCACTATACATATAAAACCACGAAACAAGAAAAAGTGTTTGTAATTACAAACCAATACTTATAAACAGACACACGTTGACAACAAATTCCCTGACTGGAATTATTAGAATTTTAATATAACATTTCGTTTGAATCAATTTACTAATGCGTGCGACCAACTGTGACAAAAATAATTCTTTTTTTCTTCAATATGGGAAAATCAACAAAACTAAGCATTATTCATGTCATTATTTCTCTTTACTTTTACTTTTATTGGTAATTTTTACAATAAGAAAATGGTAATTAAAGGCGTAGGTGATATGACTTATCACTACTACGCAAAAGCAGGTGTTTGTTTTTTATTTTAGGAAGCTTGTAAGGGATGTTTTTCAAAATTTGACGCCTTAATTGGCGGTGACTAGGAATTTGTTGTAAACGGATCATAATTTTTTATTCGCCCGACGAGGTGTTGAATTCAGATTAATAACTTTCAATTCAATGGTTCGTTCAGAACTAAACTTTCATGGCTCTCTTTGACGCCAACTTAAAAAAACACCCATTACAAATTTCGAAACTGAAAATATTAAATAAATTAATTGTAATTCTTTAATTTTAATTAATTTTTGACACTGTTGCCTATCAATTGACCTTAAGAATATTAATTTTAATGAGTTTTTTTACCTACACAATGAAATAAAAGAATTAAAAATAAATAATTCAAATTTGGCGAATTTCATGTAAATTCGGTAAATTCTTAACAGAATGATGCAATGTATCGTAATTTATCCAAAAATAATGATTAATTGTTAAAAAATTGTGTCATCATTAGAACGCGTCGTGTGTCATTTGCACCACATTTGCCAATCACGAATTAATCAAAAAATTTCCTCCTAAAAAAGCAATCATGTCTAAATTTAATTACGCGATGACTAAATTCACTGTAATTCTTGCTATTAACGTGTCGGAAACCGGTGTTTGAATCAATCAACCCTCCCACTTGTTGATTGTCAACCCCAACCCTTAAAATAGAAAATGGTAAAAAATAAAAATGCCAGGCCTAACTAAAAAATCAAATTTGGCACAGACTTGGGGCGTAACCTATCCGCGAACCAATAAAAAATCAGCATCCTTATGAAAGCACTGCTAAAAATAACACCATGCTTGTAGACCAAATGAACCAGTCACATTTATGTCAATTTTTTTGACAAAAAAGTTAAATTTCAAAATACTAACCTTGTCTACCGAAATGCCCAAATATTCTGAAAGTCCTGAAAATAACCGGCTTCCGGCGTAATAATCGCTAACTGTTTGTGCCATTTTCAGGGTCTTTACACGTCCAACAATTTCACTCAACTATCATTTGTTAAAGAAAAAATTAAATGCTACAGTTTGTTTACCAATTATTACAAGTAGGCTGTGCACACCAATGCGGTGCGATTGTTTCATGCAGTCACGCCACGATGCTCGATTGTCAATTGGCGAGGTCGACGGGTGCCGAGATTTGCCGAAGAGGAGGGGTCAAAGGACCTAAAGGGCTTTGCCAAAGTCACGTGTCACATCATAGCCAATCAGAAACATTTTCATTTTTAGACTTGCTTGCTTTAATACAATTTTTCCAACTTTTTTAATTACCATTCAAGCGTACGATTTTTTTTTATCTAAATTTAAATATTTGGCAATGGCTTAAAGGTCACGATTGGCAAAAAAGTTTCATTCCTTGCGGAAATTGATCACAGGTCATATCGTGGGTCAGAATGATAAAGAAGCGTCATGCTCATTATCATTTAACAACAACAATGGAAATAATAAATGTTTTTATCTTCATGTTTATTAACGTCTATATATTTTACAATAAAGTGTGTTCTAGTTACAATTAATTTCTTATTACTCTAACGAGAAACAAAACCCTGTTCTTATTGAGCTTTTGTTTGCATGCTAAGCACCTACCATTAACCTTGATACAATGCGTTTTATTAAAACAAATTTTATGATTATAACGGAAATTAGCCCGACTTTAATGTTTCATAAAAATAGTGAGTCTCACGTATAAAATTACAATTTTTGTATATAGAGATCATTTTTTGTATTAAGGACGTATTTACACATCAGTTTATGCATTCTACCAAGGTTTTTGCTTGAAATTGGTAAAACATTGAAACATCACTGGGGAAAGTTTGCCACATTTGAAAAACAGACACTAACTACAATTGCAACTGCTACATTTCTTCAAACGTAAAAAATAGCTGCTCAGAATAGATTATCACAGAAGATAATTTATTAAAGACTAAATAAAAACCAATAAAAATAAGAGATTTCATGATGTAAAAGTAAAATAGATGCAGGGTTACCCTTTACTTGCTGTCTAACACTAGACAAAAAACAGTCATTTCTTGCACTTACAAAAAATATACAATTGAATAATGTATAAACAAATATAAACAGTCTAAATCACAACAATTTATGACTAAAATCTTACTTAATTTTGATTTTATGCAACTTTAGTTTAAATCCCAACAACTCTGACAAGATTCCTGAAAGCGCCGACAAAATGATCAGTTTTGTGGTGTTGTACAAGATGGAATTTGCCGACAAGCCTGAAATTTTGAACGGACTTTGCAGCTCCTGAAAAATGTTTATTACAAAATAAAAAAACACAAACAAAATTTTACTTTAATGAGATCGATGGCCAACTTTAGCACATTATTAGCCAACGCTAACTCTTCCTTTTTCTGCGGTTTCTGTTCGATTTGCAAATGTAAATTTATCTGTTCTGTGATTAAAACCGACAAATTCCTATACTTCTTATTAATTTTATTCCCCAAAGTCATAAATCTGAGAAGCAGGATCCCCACTCCCAGACACCATACCAAAGCCTCGACGTGATACTGCGAATTTAAAGCTCCAGTTTCCTGCAATTATTTCTTACATTTCTGTCATAAAAAAACCAATTCCCACCTTCAACAACTCGACGCAGAGAAACGACAAAAGCAGCAAAGTGATAATAAAAGCCGTTGACACAATAACATCGACGGACCTCTGAGGCCCCCTTTGTTTCAAATACGAGCGCACTGAAAGCCAGGTCTTTATATTTCGTACTTTATTGAGCCGAAAATGCGGCAATTCGGACTGCTGTGCTCGTCTGAATGACGTCAAATGCGAGAAAAGTTTCGCGTAGAGGAATCTCTGTTTGAATGTGTTTTCGGCAACGGCAAGGAGGAAAAAGAAGAGACTCGCCAGAAACCAGCGTTGGAGACACGCCGTTATTATAATTGCGCGTTCCCTTGAAAAATCATAGAGCGTCGGTCAAAATTACAGTTTTCTGTAATACCTACCACAGAGTTGTGCCAAAAGCCGCCTCGATTAACGTCGAGACTGAGTTGGGTAATTTACCCATGATCGAGTCAAACAGTTCGAAAATGGAGTATTGGCCATCGACGAACGAGTTTGATTCAAGAGTGGAGTTACACACGCGGAATAAAATTGGGATGAGGGCGTGAATGGTCGAAACTATGATTCCGACATAGAAATAATCCATGCTTTGTGATGTTGACTCGACTTTTCCGATGATGGCGGAACTGATGTCCAACATGGAGAGATCGGCTTTTTTGATTTCGTTTCGTTTCCAGATTATGCAACTGACTTTGATTGAGGGCGGGTTGAAAACGGCCGTCGAGGTCAAATCGTGGTCATCATCATGATTTGGCTCAATGTGACCATCGGAGACCTCATCCAAGTCGGAACTGTAACTACAGTCCTCGCTATTGGTCGTCACATTCATCCATTCGTTTGTTGACGAACTCATTTTACTAGTTTTGATTGAAGTTTTCTCATATTCATCATCAGTGTCACACATGCTGTCCATTGATGTTATATTTATTGTCGGGATTTTATATTTCGCTCTTTTAATGTCCGACTCGGTCTCGGCATCGCTCTCGAGTTCGGTACTGTGTCTCGATTCGTTGGAAATATTCGACAGCGATTGTTTTTTCACCCACTCATCGCAACGCTTGTGCGAGGTTAATAACACATTCTTGCATGCGGTTGGAACAATTTCTTCCTCACTTGTCCTCGAACCGTTTCCGTTGAGACTCTCGAAACCATCATCGTCGACTTGTACTCCGTCGCTAGATCGTCGTTTCCTATCAGGCAACCAGTATTACACTTCACTTTGACTTTGTCCTATACTGTACCTGAGATTTTTGTTGATTTCTTTGCAGTTCAGTTCGGAAACGCTGTTCAAATTGAAATGAATTCGTTTAGTTTTTTTGTGGATTCGCAGATTTAGGAGAGATTCGGCCGAAGAGCCATCTGTTGGTATTTTTCTAACAGCGCTCAATCTGCGTCTGAAATTTCGCGATTTTGTTAGTTTGTTTTTTTGGGAATCAGTTACTGGCATTGTTGCGGCTATCTGAGAATGTACGAGGCTTAAAACCCAAGTCATTAGAAATGGAACGATTAATTCCATACACATAACATTCTGTAAAAAACACGATTTTTTGACGTTTTAAGGAAAAAAAATACTTACTTCAGGTGACTTATCTAACATTTGGTTTGTCCATGAATTTTTGTAGTATATTGCGATATTTGTTAGTTGAGAAACATATAAACAAAACATAAGCGTAAAAATTGATACAGATGTTTGTTGCATCCACCATTTCGAATAAACTGGCAGAAATAAACAACGAAACGTTGCTAATTTCGCAACAGTCATGAAACCTTGCTTAGGTTTGATTTTCGAAAATGAAGAACCTGAAAAATTGGAGAATTTCATTTCTGATCAAATGACACAATATGGTGAATATTTTGTGTGCTGAGATAAAATAATTTTATCGGTGTTGAATTGATAACAATTGATTAGCTTTATTGATTAAACATGTGTCGCTTTAATTTAAAAATTGCTTCCATTTTTGTGAAAATCGACATTCTCTATTACATAATAGAATTTCTATTGAGGTATTGACATTTACCTCGAACCAAATCAAGGTCAATGAAATCTGTATTAGGTTTGGTGCTCTTCATTTGGACGTGTGTCAGTCCATACAAGATTTTCTGTTCTATAGTCGTTTCCCATTTCTGCTTGTCATAAGTCCCAATTTTTTTCTGATACCTGCAATACGGAACCAAACAAGGTCACCTCGTTCTACCCATGCAAAACTTACCATGTAAAAAGATCTTTAACCCCCATTTAACTTCAAAATGACTCTGGAACTGGAACTTTGCACGGAAAAATTTCCTCAAACTAAAACATTACGAAATTTATCGGATTTGTAAAGTCGACCGAGGTTAGATATTTCGTAACTTACTTACACTGAATTTTTACAATATTTACAATGAATTTTTAGCGGGTTTTTTGATTTGTTTTCGTAAATAATTTGTTCACATAGCGAGAATTTGAATGTGACAGATACCAAACACAATCACATATGATTTTGACTTTGACGACTTTGACATTTCTGGATTTTTATTTGCCAATTTGCTGCGCCTGCGTTAGACTAATTTTTCACAACAGTATTGTTGGTTGCATACCATTTACAAGAATTTTTTGATTTTTGAACATATTTCCACAAAGCAAAGTAAAAAACGTAAAGTAGATACATAATACTATTTATTCAAATTTTGTTATGCCTACGTAAACTTACAAAACTTACATAAAAACTTTACGAAACAATTTTTTAAATTGTGCGAAAATGTAAAGTAGGGACCTATCACAAATTATAGGGCATTGTTTCTAAATTACTCCAAAAACTGTCGGCAAAGCTTTTCAGCAGAAATAAAGCTTTTTTTCGTATATTTTCAATTAAATAATAGTTACAGCTAGTTTATGTTTTTTTTAGTTAGTTTATGTTTTGTACATACTATGCCTATGTAAAATGTTCCGAGGAGTCGATTGGTGTCGAGAAAACAGCAAAATTTTTGATAGTTTGTTTAAAAGTTATGGTCGAATTAATATTTTTGCCATTTTCATCTTTACCAGCGATTTTCTCAATAACTATTTATTGCAAAACTATGATCTTTTTTTATAAGATAGGAAATTAAAAGTACTTTCTAACGGTACTAAATATAAGACAGTTATTGAGAGTAATTTCAAAGTTATTAGCTGATATTTGCTCTGGGTACCAATAATTGCCGAATTTTTTGACAAAAATCGAAAAAATTGAAGACCTCAGAATTCAACTAAATGCACTCCTAAAGGTTCAAAAGAATTTGAAAAGTGCAAAAACGTTGTAAAAAACTCAGGAACGTGTATAAAATGTTATAGGGTTGAGAAAAAAAATCGTTTTTTGAGTTTTCGTTGGTTATATCGTGAAAATGGTCGAAGAACTTTTTATTTCAAAAACGCAAAAACGCAACGTAAAATTACAAGCTGAACACGTTGCAATAGGTTAAATTGCTCTACAATGAGTAGTTTTTGAGATATTGAGTACTAAAATCAAGAATAAACCAAATGCACTCTTATGGGTTCAAAAGACTTCGAAAAGTGCAAAAACGTTGTAAACGATTTTTTTGAGTTGAGTTGGGAGTTGGAAGTTGAGGTGAGTGATGAGAGTTGGAAGTTGGGAGTTGGGAGTTTCTGTTATCATTGGTTAAAGAGTTATAGCTTAGCAAATAGTAAAAATAAATTTTGTACAAGTTGGTCGTGATAAATTAAAAACGATGACATTTATGAATTAACAAATTAATAACGAACGAAGATAAAAAATATGTTTTTCTCAGAATGATATTTTGTAACACTGGTTGGCGTATGTTGAGACTTCCTGTATTTTATAAAAACAAACTTTTTTTAAAGATTACCCTAATGCTGTAAAATCTAGATTTAGAATCAATATTTTTAAAGAACTTTTGTTATTATTATTGCACAATTACAAGGCATTTCTTACATAAATAAACGTTTCAAAATTTGAATTGCAAAATATTATTAAATAAATCAGCTAATAGACTGTATAAAATATGTAAATTTTTTTGAAATTCTTTTAAAGTAAGAGGTGTCGTCTTAATTTTGAACTATATATTTTTTTGTTGATTTTTTTTATCATATTTCTTGTTGTTTTGAACAATTTTTTTGCAAAAGTGTGTGTTTTGTAAGAAATACTAGTTGTGTGTTCTAGAATAAGAGTTCTTGTCCCGCCTCTACATCGCTTTTATTGTTTTTGTACAGTACACTGAACATGGTGCATTATAAACATCGTATAAAATAATGATATTATCATATGGAAAAGATTTATTCAATAATATAATGAGCAAACTACAATATTTTATAAATGAAAACAGCATCAACATTATATTGATTTAATATCAAATACCGAGATAAATGAGCCGTTTTCAGTTTCTTCAATAAAAACTTGATACGGCTCACACCCAAGTACCATATAACATATTATAACAATTACTATGTTAATGATTATCATCGTTATCTCAACTGAAGTCTTAAATGGCAACATTACAACTCCTCTGGTACCATTTTCAGTAACGCCATTTTCTTTTTGGCCACTTTTGAGATGAGCACATCGATGGGTTTCGTGGTGTCATAAAGTGATGGTGCATTGAAAATTATAAGCCCGGTACCAACCACACACGCCAGAGTGAAAATCCACAAGAAGAGACGATCCAAGACCATGGCCACGTATTTCCAATCTTCGGCAACCTAAAACAACTTTAAAGCCCACTTTTGACAAATTTCACAAAGTTACATTTTCAAACGAGTCCTTGTTGCGGACATGTTGGGCTATAAACCTCGAATCCGCTAGTGTCTTCTCCATATCGTGCATATCCAACTTGTCAAAAGAGGGACTAGCGTCGCTGGTACCATCAAAAGTGTTGGTTCTGCAACTCGCAGGACTGTATAAATCTTCATCGCCACCTGAGAGGGGCATAGGGAATGGGGGTTCCCCGAAACAACCTGAAGCCGCCACATCAAACCTGGAAGGCGGTGGAAGCCCCAAATCGAAACTATCGAAAGAGGTTTTCTCGAATGGTTTACATTTGTCCATCATTGGGACTTGGATGACGTCAGTTAACATACTGTCTTGGCATTTGTTGTCATCGTCGTCTTCTTTTTTGGGACGCTCGATGAAGAGGAATTTGGGGAGGATGTCGATGAAGAAGACTCGCACCCAAGGGGCGAGTTTGTGGGTGACTGGTGATCGGAAATTAACGTTTAAGACAGCAATCGTGATGACGACGGAGAGTGTACATAGCAACATCGTGAAGAGAAGATATTTACCTAACAGAGGCACTGTTATGGAAGTAGGAGGAATGATTTCCACCAATAGGAGGAAGAAGACAGTCAGGGAAAGCAAAATCGAGATGCAAAGTGAGACTTTCTCGCCGGAATCAGACGGTAGGTAGAAAACCAAAATCGAGAGGAAAGAAATGCCGACGCAGGGGATAATCAAATTAACTGTATAAAACAGTGTTTTGCGACGGAGAGTTATATTGAATATGATGTCAGGGTAGGGCTCTTCGCAGCAGCTGTAAAATTTTTCATTTCGGACCGCTGGTACTTTCATTATGTCCCATTCGACTGATATGTAGTAGTCTTGAAGGTCTATTCCCACGTCGATCTTGTTCGAATCTTGGACTTGCGAGAGATGCCGCAAATCGACCTGGAATTCCCGTTTCATTTCCGATTATTTCGGTTAAAATTTTTACCATGTAGCCGTCGTAGGTCCACGAACCGAATTTCATAAAGCAGGTTTGTTCATCGAAAGGGAAATATTCGACATCTATCTCGCAGAAAGACTTGTAGATTGCAGGGGGTTTCCACACCACTTTGCCGGTATGGTGGAGGATGGCTTTGGTCATTATGGTCACTTCGTAGTTACCGTCGGCACTAAAGTGGACAGTGAATGCATAATAAACTACTTTACTAGCTGGTGTTAAAGTTGATTCACACACTGTGCGAAACTTCGAATAAAAAATGAGAAAATTAAAATCAGTTTTTTATAAAAAAAATAAAAAATGAAAAAATGTAACTGTAACTTCAATCGACTTTGCGCTTTTATTGTCCGATGGATTATATTAAAAAGGTTTTGACGATGGTGTCAGAAAACATTACCGTTTTGACATTTTTTTCTTTATTAAAGCAGCAATTACAACAAAACTATTAGGATTATTGGAATAAAACCATGGTTTAGAATAATTAGAGTGAGAAAAGATTGTTAAATAACACAGATTATTATAAATGGAAACCCAGAAAAAATGCGACAAAATGCAAAATATTTGCGAAATTTTACGTTCATAGCTAGATAGTAGGAAATAAAAAATTGTAAGTATTGTAAAATATCGTCAAAATAGTGTTTATGCGAAATAGAACAAATATTACAAAATTCAAAAAAAAATGCAACAGCAACTTCAATGAGAATAATTTTAAAATCTGTTCCATGTTAAAATTTAAACTGTAGACTATAAGAAGTTATATTAATAATAATAATGGTTCTATAAACATTTTTTTTTTTGGTAAAAAAGTTATTTTTGTATTAAGTATGCGAAACGGCTGTTTCTTGAACAACGTTTTTTCTACAATATTTAATTAAATTATTTAAAATACCTTAAAATTTAGTTGTCATCTTTCTTCCAGTAGGTGAAATGCAGTGTGTGAAATAAGCACTTTACACATTCTGCTATAAAACAAAAAATGGCTAAATTTGCGTATTGATTTTGATGTGTGAAGTTTAAATTGTAGAAAAAATATATTTTTATATTTTTTTTATATATTCCATATTGTTATACAGGCTGTTTCCCATGTTACGAAGCTTACGCCTAATGTATGTATGCACCCAAATATACAAAAGTCACAAAATACTGGATACAAAAAACACATTTAATTTTTTAATTTTTGGAAATCCATGACAGTAGTTGTCACTAACCAGTGTTTTATTAATAGTCATAAACTGCTGTTTTTCAGAAATAATTATCATTTGTTTTATAATATGATATGAATATGATTCTAGTTTATCTACCTTAATCACTAACTAATTAAAAACGTTGTAATTTTTGAAAGGGTGAATAAATTAGAGAAGATTATCTAATTTTTCAAAATTTGTAATCTAGTTCGTATCGGAATATGTATTAAAATTATATGAAACACTCTGTATATATCATACCTACTGAGTGAATATAAAGTATGGAACCAAGCGTTGTTTTTTTTAAATCATTTGCTTAGAGAAAATAATAATTTATCAAAAATTAAAGTACTTAATATAAAAATGTGATCGTATGAGAACAAAATTTTGTTTTGTTTTTCAGTTTTTTTGATTTTTTGTCAAATTTGTAATTTATGTATGTTTTAAAAATTAAATATAAAGTAATTAATTGTAATTCTTAGATCATAACTTTCATGAAAAAATGGTTTTATAGTGGGTTGCCATTTGAAAAAATATTTTTTTTTGTAGAACTCAAATACAGAAGAAAATTTCGAAAAATTTTATTCTTGATAAAACACCATATTTT